AGAGATACATAAAATTAAAGAAATTTAAAAAAAAGATGGAATTTTTTTGTAGGAATAGAATTTTTCTTCTAAATAAATTTTAAAAATTCTAAATATACATAAAATTTGACAAGAATAATGTGACAACGTTAATTAATATGTATTTGATTTTATTTTTGAGCCAAATAAAATAAAACAAGATTAAATGTATATTTAGCTTTGGTTGTGAATGTGTAAAAAAAAAAAAATAGTTGTGAACCTTTAAAAAATAAAAATAAAAATAAATAAAAAAATAAAAAAATTGGGGTCAAGTTGAATTGAGGAAAATCCAAACCCATTAGAAGATGGGGAGGGTAGTACCTGGGAAATAGGGAATGGAGAAAAATAATTATAAGAGAATGTGAATGACGAATTAATATCCATCTCATTAATCGCGATTGCCATCCCTATTACCATGATTGCAATTGGTCAAGAGCAGTGATTGATTTTACCAAAAATTGTGATCCAGCAAGTTAAATAGACATACAGATATGGGAGTGATTAGGGGTGTACACGGTCCGGATTGGTTCGGTTATGAGAAAATCCAAGAATCGAACCGATCCTAACGGTTCTGTGATTTTGAGAACCAGACCAGACCGTTACACTTGTAAAATCGGATCAGAACCAAACCAAAAAAACGGTTTGGTTTACGGTTTCAAAACTTTCTATTTACAAGAATAAATTGTTAATATCAGCAAAATAATTATTCAAACTAATTGCATTTTACTCATGATAAAAACTAATAATATTAAGGCATTACTTAATATTACATATATATACCATCCTAATATCATTAAAATTATAAAAACCAATTAATAAAAATAAAACTTGATATTATATATATATATATCTTTTAAAATTCGGTTCGGTTCGGTTCGATTCGGTTCGAATCACGATTTTTTTATAAAATTCATTAACCGAACTGTTTTTACGATTTTCATATTTCTTAATATGAAATCGAATCAATTCTTAATAGAACCGAATTAAACCAAACCGTATGATTCGATTTGGTTCGGTCCAAATTACTGGTTTAAACAGATTTTTGAACAGCTCTAGGGGTGATAAGTAGATAGTAATCAATTTGAAACGAGTAGAGGCATCACATGTGTTTATCAGCAAAATAAAGGTTATTGGAATTATATTAAGACATGTTAATTGAATATTATAGTTCTCATTTGTACCAAGGACCCTCTATTTATTTATTTATTATTTTTTTTCGGTTTTAAAGCTAAAATATACATTTTCACTAATGTAGGCTAATCTATCACAATGCCGAAGTTAGAATCATTTGGGGGTAATTTATTTTTTAAAAAATATTAATTTGACAGTGAATAACTCCAAGTGCATGAAAGTTATATTCATTTGATCATCAAAGTTTGCACAAGTACGTTTACCTCGTTTGTTTTCAGAGGTAGAATGGAGGGGATTCATAGTGAGAGAATTAATAGTGAGAGGATTGTTAGTGAGTGGATTGATAGTGAGGGGATTAAGTAAAATTGTGTTTGTTTTGATGATAGTTGTTAGTGTAGGAAATGTTAAATTATTTTTATATAAAATAATAAAAAAAATAAAAAAATAAAAAAATTAAACATTAATATTTAAAAAAAATTCCCAATATATAAAAAATAAAAAAAATAAAAAACTTTATAATCCCCTCACTATTTTTCTAATACCATCTCTACCTCTTCCTTCCCAATCCCCCTTCTAAGGCCTTTACTTATACCAAAGGATTAGGAGTCCCCTCCCCATATCTCAAAACAAGCACCCCATATAGTAGTCCCACCTCATTATTAATCCCAATCCCCTCGCTATAACCCCAAACAAACGGGGTTGTTTGGGGTGTCCTAAATAAGTGTACTTTTTTTTTTGGACTAAAAAATTGAGAAAAAAAATATAAATGTTTGAGTTAACTTTTTGTCTTTTTACGAAAAAATGTGTAATAAAAAATTGTATAAATAAAGTGTATAGGGGAAGAGAGTTGAGTAGGTTGTCTTACACAACAAATTATTGCCTCATTCGGGGTAAAGTATTTGGACAGTGATCGTCGGTCCATGAGGGCTACCACGGGTCCCATTTTAATAATCTGAACCATTCAATATGTACAACTCGTCAAGTATTATATATCTGTAAAAACTTACATTGATCGAATATCGATAGCTATATAATCGTATTAGTTTTTGTTCAACAGTTAACTATCATACCATCCGTTTTGTTTATACAAAACTGATTTGATCATGTAGTTAACGATATCCGATCAACGTGATTTTTTATAGTCATAGAATACTCGACGAGTTCTACATATTGAACGGTTCAGATTATCAAAACAGAACCTTTAGTGGGCCCCCAAGGGCTCAACATTACCATCAAACTTTGTGGCTTTACATATGTAATTTTGTTTTTTGCCCAAAAGGTGTATGACCTGCCTTCCTGCTGGGGTAGTACGGCTGACAGTGTAATTCAAACTTTTGAATTATAAAAATGTATAAAATATTTTTTTAATATTTTTTATTTGTGAATAGTAATGACTTTTTTGCCTTTTGTGTAATTTTTTGGCTTTCTGAATTTTTTGGGACTTGCCAAATCTGGCCTTAGTACTTACATGTGATTGCCTCTAATAGAATCTTTATAAATTTTGTTTTTTTGTAGTATTACATGTACCAATTAATGTACATACTAGTGTACCAACTGGTATTATATTATTATTACTGAGCCCGCCTATTATATAAATTATAAATACCCAAAACCTTTAAAATTATGCCACATCATCTATTAGTATATTAGTTAGTACATTAATTGGTATATCTAGCATTATTTTATTTTATTTTTTTTGGTAAATAACATAGATACTCTTCTGAAGTTTCTGTTCAATATAGATTCCTCCTCACATTTTAAAAATCACACTTAGTCCTGTTAGATTAAAATGACATATTTGTCCTTTAACTTTTGTACATATAAAATAATAAAATAATGTAGGTATTTTGTTCATGTTATTTCAAAAAAAATAAAAATCAAAAAATGAGTTTTTTTAATTATTTTAATTTTTTGTGTTTTTTATTTTTATTGAATTTTTTTTAATATTTAACTAATTTTTATTTTTATTTTTTACAAGCACCTAATCTAGATATATATAAGTATAATATTTTGGGTTTTTTTTATTTTTTATTTTTTTTTAAATTCACCAAATACAAAAAAAAATATAAAAATACAAAAATTCAATACATTATCTTATTTTGTTGTTTTCAAGGGATTTTTTTTTATAATTTTTTTGTACAAATTTTATACTTTTGAAATATATCTGGATTAAATTGATCGAATCTAGATATAATGGTGAAAAAAAAAGTATATTAATATATAAAAATTTATGCAAAAAATATCATAAAAATGTTGTGATAGTGATACTGTTGTAAATATAAATCATGTTTATGAATGTTTTATTTTAAAGTGAAATGTTGCCATTAAACTATATCATTATGTTTAAAAATTATATATAAAAATTTATGTTTGTATATCATCACTTAATAAGAATATGATCAGGTATAATTTAATGATGGAAAGTTGTAGAATGTTGTTATAATTATAGGAAGAAGAAGTGGTAGGAAAAAGGGTAAGATGATAAATTAGAAAATTTTAGGGTATGACATCAGCAATCTAGGGGATAATTTGTAATGAGATTACAAACCTCAAGGAGGGAAATATAATTTTTCAAATATGAGGGAGAATTCTATATTAAACAGAAACCTTAGGGGTGTTAGTGTAATTTGTCCCCCTCCCTTTTTTTTAAATTATTTAATAGTGTTGTTATTAGCAACTGTCAAAATTCTTTGGATCCCTACCCTAAATCTTAAATTTTAATAATATTTTTTTAGACACCCCCACTTATTACCAAATCTATACATATTTATAATATTTTCACAATCAAATGCACACCCACCCTATTTTTCATACCCTCTTCTTCCCTGTTACTTGACCGTCCGTCTTCTTGGTTTTGTCTCCTCTGCACCGACCCAATCTACCAATTTCTTACAGAGTGTTGTTCTTTCATTGCTTCTTTTTTTCCCTCCTTACAAAGTGCTGCTATTTCGTTTCCTCTGTTTTTTTTTTTTTTCGTCTCCTCTGTTTCTTACAATCTATTGCTGGTGGTGGAGCCGCACACAACGTAGCTAGTGGTGGAGCCACACACAATAAAGCTGTAGACTTTTGTTTAGTTTAACAGTACTAACTATCTACATTAATGTTCGGAACCTACGTATTGAACGAAAGGATTATGTTTAATATTGTATTACCGAATATAATCCTAATAGTAGGCAAACAAGTACAGAACAACTCGAACAAAAGAAGAACGACTGAAAACGACTGAGAATGTTAATGCAAGACAGATAAACTTACCAATGGAATGTCGGTCTCATTATAATTGTTGTCCTTGTCCTCCATTGCTTTACACGATGAAATAAGTGATGAAGTATACGTTATACTTGAAGTAAAACTTTCTGGTTTAATAGGGTTGATGATGGTGATGAAGATAACACATTCAGGGTTTAAGATGATTATGAAAAATAATATATTTAGGATTTATGTTGGTTGGTTATGAAGAGTAATAAATTTAGGGTTTATAAACATGAAATATATATAGTTGGAGGTGGAGGTAGAGGTGGAGGTGAGAGTGGGGGTGGGTGTCAAATATTATAGATTATTAGTTCTTATTTGATAGGTGGATGTTCTATTTAATAATGTTTTTTAATATAATTTTACTTTAGGGTATAATTGTAATAAATTTTTTTTATAAATTGGAGGGTCTAAAAAATTTTGACAGGTGCTAATAGCAGCACTCTTTTTTAATTGTGGACTACAGTTAGAAGCTAAAGTAGTAATTGGCTTATTGGAATAGAACAAAATTAAATGATCATTTTATTAAAATATATATTTTTATATTTTATTGACTAAAAAATTAATGAAAAATATCTTACAAATGCAATCAATATTCACCATTATAAAAGAATGATAATTTTATCAGAGAGCTTAATCATTCTATTTTATTCCAGTGAATCAAATACAACATAAAAACATTAACAACTGGGAAATAAAACAGGGAAAAAAAAAAAAAATTAAGAAAAGAAAAACACATGCATAATTGACAACTGCTTTTGGTAAATATAAATGCGATGGAGATCAAACATCAGACCAAGTTATGTTCAAGTTGCCCCGGTTTTTTTGAGGAACACCCAAAGCCTTCCACACAGCTTTGGAGGCATCCACAATATTATTAGGACATGGAGGCTGGAAATCATGATCGACATCACAACCCAAGGTGGAGTCACACTCGTCAACTACCATAGCTTCTACACTTCGTCCATTACCGTGGATGATAATCTTCTTCAAGCATCTCTGTTGTTTGTTGAACCATCCAGTCGACAATGCCACCACCGGTGAGTCATCTGAGTGGAACTCGTTATCACATTCAGATGGTGCTCCGCCATCCCCACCCTTCGCAAAGCTGTTGATTGTCAACACTGCCTTTGTATGATCTGATACTTTTGGCGAACACTTATAAGTAGTGTAAAGTTTGCCTTCCACACAACACTCAGAGTGGTTCTCAGTGTTGCATTGTCCCGGAGGAGGTTTCTTGCCCCTTATCTTGCCGCTAGGTTTGCAAGATTGAGCTTCGACACTTGAAAAAACTGTCACAAGAAGAAACAAAATTAGAAGTTGATTCTTCATTTTCTTCTTTCTTTTGTATTGTGATTGTTTGGTGTGAAGAAACTAAGTTAGTTTACAGTATATATAGTAGAACGATGATATGTGACAGGTTTGTTTTATTTTATTTTCATAATATTATTGATTGTGTTTAAATTAAGGCATAGGTAAATGAGTTGGTTGGAGTAAACTATATCACGCGAATGAACAACTGTTTTGTAGGTTTCATTAAAGTTGACAAATGAATGTTGGTTCTTTCACCAAGTAATAAGATTGATTCTAAATTTATTCAGTTTATTGGAGGTATCTTTGTTGAATGTTCATGGCGGATCATTAATGTATTTGGGATCTTTAAGTGAATAAATATTTCGTTTCCAGCCTTTTTCATTTATTTTTTAAAATTCCAACCTAAATCATGAACAAAACATAGTGTTTGGTAATTTACACACGTTGTCCCTTTATGTTTTACTATTTATTTGCTTTGATTGTCGAACTCTTTTTTTTCTTCATTTTGGTCATTCACGTTATTTGAAGGGGTTAAATGTGAAATGGGTCGGGTCCAAGCCTTGGACCGGCCCAATCTGCTGAAGTCCAGATCCAAGCGGGCTGGATGAGCATATAGGCAGACCAATTAAGCCCAAATTCATGATCAACAGTCCACCCAAGTCCTCAAGCACTTGGGCCCAACCCGCAGTGGAAAGGCTAGTCCAGCCGTGGTGCTGTGCTGGGTTGGGCTGAGCTGCGAGACTGAATTTATGGGCCGAACAGATGATAGGCTGAGCCCATACAAAGATACCTGAATGGACCAGTCCATCTCCATGAGTGATCCTGTAAAAGGCTGAGACAAGGCATAATGATGCCGAGCTGAGGAACATCGGTACCGAGCTGCGGAAACCTCGCAAGGAAACATGGAAATTGTGAACGTGTGCACGTGCAAGTTGCCACCTCAGCTGGTCCCCTACACCCTAGAATCACGGAAGTTGTTGAACTAAAGGAATGTGGTTTGTTATCAGTATGACTACAATGAGTATATGCATTCAATGGCAACTACCAGGTGGTCCCCCATCATGAGCAATGCTAAAAGGACACCTGGCAGTATCCAAGCTCCATGAACTCACCTTGAGAAGCAAGCAAGGAACACTATATGTACAACACGAACTTCACATTGAAGGTAACTGAACAATTCCAAGTACAACTATAAGCTCAACTCGATATACATTCTCTCCCCGATCCACTTTCATCTAGTGCGGAATCCGGTACGCACAATTGGTGCGGTAAACGTGGATCACTTTATCTCTGAGCTCTGCACTCAGTTCTGGCGATGGGGATAGAGGACATTCCGCCTTCGACACAAACTCCACAGACGGAGAAAACAAAGGACAAAGGTTTGGCACTCCCAACAGTCCCGGAGGATCAAACTGGAAACAATAATCGAACCCCTGAATCCGTCGAGCACCGATTACCTTTCGCTGGAGGTTCTTCTCATCACTTTCTTCTGGAAAAGGATTATAGAGATCGCATCATAGACTCCATGGGGATGGAGATATAGGAATTGAAAGCCCAACTTAAGAGGGTACTGGGCGATCCAACAGAAAAGAAGACGGAAGCGGAGCCCTCTCGTTTGCGACGGAGGAGCTCATCCAGAGAACCACCGGTGAAAAAATTCCTTAGTAATGATTCTGGACAACAAAGCCAGCCTATCCTAGTAAAGAGTGAGGCGGCAAGCAGTCACACCCGCGGGTCACGCCGGAAAAGGGCCAAGAGGCAGAAGACCGTTAGTCAACAGACCGCATACCCTCCTCAGGACCTTCGCATTTCGTTGATTGGCAATAGGCAGAATGAACAACATCGGGATCATCTGGACTGTACTGTTCACCAGAGGGAACACCGAGCGCTGGACAGGCTCGTCTCTTCGCCATTCTCCTCGGAGATCGAGACCATAAGACCTCCAAAGAAATTCACCCCGCCAAAGTTCACTTCATACGACGGGAAGTCGGACCCGCTAACACATATTAGCCACTATAGACAGATGATGTCCCTATGGAACCGAGACGAGACACTGATGTGTAAAGTCTTCCCATCCAGCTTGGGAGAAACCGGACTTCGATGGTTCGACCGTCTCCCCACTGGATCGATCCATGGCTGGAAGCAGCTCTCCGAAGAGTTCCTAGCTAGGTTCGTCTCCAAAACTAAGATCTCGAAGGAGCCCGATACACTGTTCGGTCTCCGAAAGGAACAGGAGGAAACGCTGCGCAATTATGCTAGGAGGTACTGGGAAGAATACAATGACCTGGAGGAAAATGTGTGTAGCGAGTAGATGGCCGTCATGTCCTTTAAACATGGTCTGCGCCCGGAAAGTAAGCTGAGACAGTCACTTACCAAGCGCCCGACCACAGCTTTGAAAGATTTGCGTGCCAGGATTGAGCAGTACACACGCCTCGAAGACGATTAGATCCCCATCGAGGTAGCGTCAGCAGAACAAACAGCTCGGCACAAGAAGAGATCAGACCGAGGAGAATACCGAGGGATTGAATGAAGTGGATAAGTCCAAATCCCACGAAGCCGTTGTAACTGTATTCAAAGAGCCCATCTATCGAATCCTAGAAAAGATCAAGAGAGAGCCCTTCTTCGTTTGGCCGCTGAAAATGTTGGGAGATCCAGCTCGGCGCAATCAGAAGCTCAGATGCACCTACTACCAAGACAGGGGGCACATGACTCAGAACTGCAGGGCACTGAAGCAACACTTGGAAGACTTGGTGGCAGCTGGACACCTAAAAGATTACATTGATCAGGATAAGGAAGTGACCGAATTGGGAAACCCACTGCCAGAACCAAACATTGAGCATCCACCTCGGCTGATAATAAATATGATCCACGGGACAGCGACTCAAGAGTCCGAGGAGGCACTGAAGGAAGAGATCGCTAAGGCTGCGCAAATTCAGCGGGTCATGTTAGTGGAGCCTACATCGAAAAAGGTACGTACAGTACCTAAATCCCCTTTTGCACTGTTTCATTTACTAGCAAAGATTTAGAAGGCATACAGCACCCACATACTGATGCATTAATTATAACTGTGGAAATTAGGAAACGGTTTGATGTAAAACGAGTCTTGGTAGATCAAGGTAGTATTGCAGATATATTGTATTATGATTTGTTCAGAAAGCTTGGTCTCTCTGAGCAGCACCTCACCCCGGCGACAGCCCCGTTGGTCGATTTCAATTCACAGCCAGAATGGCTGCTTGGCAGAATAGTGTTGCCAGTCGTAGTGGGAAGAAAAACCCTCTAGATAGAGTTCTTAGTTATTAATACACCATCCCCTTACAACGCCATACTTGGCCGTCCGTGGATTCATCAAATGGAGGCAGTCCCTTCAACCTACCACCAGCTCATCCGTTTCCCAACGGAACACGGAGTAGAGCAGATCTCAGGGGATCAAGTTGCGTTCAAACATTGCTTCATGGCAGCATTAAAAGTAAAGCAGCTCTGCAATCGGGTACAGACGGTAGAAGTGGCTAAACAACCAGTCTTGGAAGATGTAGGGGGAACCCTAGAGGAAAAGATGGTAGAGGATTTGGAGAAAGTCTTGGTAAATGGGGATGACCTAGAAAAGTACTTCCTTATAGGTACCTCGCTAGGCGCTGATGAGAAACTTCAGCTGCTGGAACTGCTGAGGGAGAATATGGAGGTATTCGTGTGGTCAGCATATGATACTCCAGGGTTGGACCCAGACTTTGCTTGCCACAAGCTCAACATCAACCCTTCAGTTCGGCCCATTGTGCAAAAAAGTCGAAGATCGTCAGTCGAGCACACTGAAGCAGTAATTGCCGAAGTCGAAAAACTCCTGGCTTCAGGAGCAATCAGGGAAGTTCAGTACCCGCAATGGCTGCCCAACACAGTTGTAGTTAAGAAGAAGAACGGAAAATGGAGATTTTGTGTTGACTTCACTTGCTTGAACAAAGCCTGCCCTAAAGCTAGTTTTTCGCTGCCTCGCATTGATCAACTAGTAGACTCAACAGCAGGGCATGAGCGCATGAGCTTTCTGGACGCTTATAGCGGCTATCATCAGATATCACTGTTCGGTCCAGATCAAGAAAAGACAGCGTTTATCACTCTAAGGGGAACTTACTGCTAGAAAGTAATGTCATTCGGCTTCAAGAATGCCGGGGCAACCTACCAGCGAATGATTACACGGATGTTCAAGGACCAACTGGAAAAAACCATGGAAGTATATATAGACGATATGGTAGTAAAAAGCAAGCTCTCTGCAAACCATCTCGCAGACTTGAGAGAAGTTTTTGGCATCCTAAAAAACCACCAACTTTGCCTCAATGCCTCGAAATGTGCTTTCGGGGTAGGAACAGGGAAGTTCTTGGGTTACATGGTCATTCATAGATGAATTGAAGCGAATCCGGATCAGATCAGAGCGATATGAGATCTTGAAGTACCAACAAAGGCTAAAGAGCTGCAGAAGCTGGCCGGAATGGCGACCGCACTAAATCGGTTTATTAGCAAATCCTCAGATCGGATGAAGCCCTTCTTCCAGCTTTTAAGGAAAAAGACAGCATTCGAATGGAATAACGAATGTACCGAAACACTGCAAAGCCTCAAAAGATACCTCAGTACACCTCCTCTGCTGTCCACTCCAGAACAAGGAGAGGAGCTGTACCTCTATCTAGCAGTCTCAGATCACGCTGTGAGCGCAGTATTAATTCGAGAAGTTGACAAGGAACATAGGCCTGTCTATTATGTCAGCAAGACTTTACTAGACGCTGAGACATGGTATCTACTGTTGGAAAAGTTAGCATGCGAATGAACAACTGTTTTGTAGGTTTCATTAAAGTTGACAAAGGAATGTTGGTTCTTTCACCTAGTAATAAGATTGATTCTAAATTTATTTAGTTTATTAGAGGTAACTTTGTTGAATGTTCATGGCGGATCATTAATGTATTTGGGATCTTTAAGTGAATAAATATTTCATTTCCAGCCTTTCTCATTTATATTTTTAAATTTCTATCTAAATCCATGAACAAAACATAGTGTTTGGTAATTTACACACGCTGTCCCTTTATGTTTTACTTTTTATTCGCTTTGATTGTCTAACTCTTTTTTTCTTCATTTTGGTCATTCACGTTATTTATTTATTTATTTATTTTTTATTTATTTATTTTTTTAAAGTTAATTTTTATCCAAAATTAGTTAGAAAATATCACATTAATAACCTCCTAGCATGAAATACGTTATTATATTTAACTTACACCTTTGATACAAACATAAACCTAAATATAATAATATAATTTTTGAATAAATTACAAATACACCCATTGGTGTTAGGTCAAAATACAAATCTCATGTGGGTCGGTAAATTATAAATATCATCTTATCAACTTTTTTTATTTAAAAAAATAAACAAAAAAAAAATAAAAAATTCTAGCTATTCTTCTATATAACAATAAATTACCAGAATTATTAATTGTATTATATTTATGACATCATTAAAAATTATTAATTGACATAATAATTTATTAATAAAATAGTTCATTTGTTATGCGATTAGAAATTTGAAGGGGTGGAAAGTAGTTTTCAGAATCACAGGGAATGATTCGTACTTTAAAACAAACTTTAGGGGGTTTATTTGTAATTTATCTAATATTTTTTTTTATGCCAAGTGACATCCAATGTGGTATTTTTTTGGGTCTAATTTTAAATAGAAGTTAGGAATAAATTGAACCAAACTTGAAACCTAAAGAGCTAAAGTAGGAAAAAAAAAATTAATAACCAAAATAAAAAAATAATAATAAAACATAAGGGATAAAATATAATTTATCCAATCAATCAACACGAGTGACACACAATATACAAATGAAACGTGGCAGTGATGGCTATTATTAATGGCTGCCAATACGTTAGCGGTCTTTTGCCGTAGCAATTTCCCTAATTAATTTGATTCTAAACGAGACGAAATAGTCAAATTCTATATGTAATTACAAATTTTTAATGGGTACTTATGTGTAGATCATAATAAGTGAATTTATTGTCTAATAGGTCCTATAGAAAAATTTTGTCATAAAAAAGGTCACTAATTGTAAGTATTAGCTACAATTTATAAAGATCATGACAAAAAAAGTCCCTAATTGTCAATTTTTAACGACATATATAAAACATTGTCACAAAAAAATTATTTTTAGTGACAATTTTACCAAGACTTATTTTCAATAGGATTTGGTGAAAATTAAGTCCAACTATTAGGACCTATTGGTAGTTTACCTTATTTTTAATCTACTATTTGTTATTTTTACTATTCAAAAAAACAAAGATAACTTGTTTGATGAATAATTCTGAAAACTTTTTTTCAAATAACATTTCTAAAACAGTGATGTTATGCTCATGTAGAAATAGAATGTAGTGTATGGTTGAGGTTAATTTTTAAGTGTAGCTCACACTACACCTAAAAAAGATTTTTAACCATACAATACATTTTTTTTGTGTGTTATATTAAAGTTGGTTTTGAACTTCGGAAAACAACTTGAGAAAATAAATGAAACAAGGGCAAATCACACAAATAGTCCCTGTACTTTACCCCATGTGTCATTTTGGTCCACGACATTTCAAATTGCTCGATTTAGCCCCTCAATTTAACGAAGTGTGTCAATTTCGTCCAATAATTGACACTCGTTTGAAATTATGGACAGAAAGCCAGCACCTACCTCTTACGTGCTCTCTCTAGCAATTACATAGGGGCACACTCGTCTTTTCACCTCAAACCCTAGGTTACCTCCATTGTCCCTATACTTGCATTTTTCCCAAATCAACAAGTCCTTCTCTCTCTACACAATCGAATCGTTTCTAGGGTTTTGAGTCACCAAAAAATGGTTTGATTGTAAATCTGCTGAAATTGGCGTGGATAAAGAAGAAAACGATTGACAAGGTGAAAGGACGAACATGGCGATTGTGAGGATTGGTGATGAAATACCAGATTATGGTAAGCAAAAAAGTACTCTTACCTTTTTTTTTGGTTTTGTATTTTGCTTTATTTTATCTGTCTGCAAGTTAAATCATTGGGTGGGTAAAAGAATCTACTTTTGCTTTGCTTTGTTTGAAAGTGATGAGGTGAATATATGTTTATATATTCACGCATGTCGACACATCTACACAACTGCACACTGACAAAAAAACTAATCAATATCTATAATTGATGTATTGTGGTTCCCCTTGTCCTGTATTGTGGATCATACAATAAATATGTTATCTTCTATTTCTGATCCAGATGGTGATTATTTCACTATCAAAATGCATCATGGTGGGGTTTTTAAGTCTTTAGTACATAGGGCTTACGTATGGGGAAATTATCATTTTGGGACAACTGTGATGCTGACAAAATGAGGTTGACAGAGATAGGGGATATAGCTCAAAAGTTAGTTTATACTGAATTCATTTTATACCATTATCGAGTGCCTGGTAGGGACTTAAATTATGGATTAAGGCCACTTAAGAATGATAGTGATGTAATGGATATGGTGAAATGAGTACATGTAAGTAGGATAATTGAAGTGTATTTAAAGCACATCCCTGATGATTAGTTGCTTGAGCTTGAAGAGTTTAATCCATTTCACCATGCATCAGTTGTCATTGAGGAAATTGGAAGTAGCACAAGTAATGTGGGGGGTGAGGGTGAGGCTGAAGTTGAAGTTGAAATTGAAGTTGAAAGGCAAAGTCATGATTCATCCAACTATTCTACAGATCTAGAGGAGTTTAAGGATAATGATTATGATTTCAATGAGGACGACATACTATTTGATGCTAATGTTGATAAGAATGTTGAATGGGGTGGGTTAGTGAGTTAGAAGCATAATGATGAAAGGATTGAGGTACCTCATATTGACTGCCTAGAGCCTGATGCTACATTTGATGACCTGAAGAGCATTAATGGATCTTCTGATGAAGATGCTGGAAGCAACAGGGTTAGATACCCGGAGTTTAATCCAAACACAGATATAGTAGATTCACAATTCAAGGTTGGCATGGTTTTTGGCACTGCCAAAATATTCAAAGCTGCTGTTAAAGAGAATGGTATTAAGATTGGGAAGGCTATTAAGTTAGTCAAAAATGATAGCATGAGGGTTAGGGCCACCTGTAAGCCACCATGTGAGTGGATACTTTATGCATCCAAGATGCAAGGACAACTATCATTCTAGATAAAGACATGTGTCCCCACTCATAATTGTGGTAGAATTTTTTATAATAGACAAGTGAATTCTACCTGGCTGTCTAAGAAGTACTTGGAGACAT